CGTTCTTACAGAATAAGGCCCCAGGCCTTGTATCCTTGAGTCAAATCGCCATACTGAGTGAAGATGGCGTCAGTAGTACTTAGAGTTGAGGTTATGTTGATAACAGAAGATAGTAGGCAATCCAACGACTTGTCAAAAATGGCGCCTAATTTAGGGCAATGAACTACTACACGTAAGAGGAATGGACCCAACAACAGCTGATTTCATTGTCCATTTTTGAAGCAATTTATGGAAGTGAGAACGCTAATAAAAAGGGTTGTTTGCTGTGTTGCAGGCGTACATGTCTACGAGCAATGGGGAATAATTAATCCACCTAGCCTTGTCTAAGAATGCGTAAGACAAAGACAACCACCCCTTTCACTCAATTAAAAATTTGCCTTAGGCATGATAGATGCTGGTGCTATTCCATTTACGTAGTATACATTTATTTCACTGGTTTGAGGTTGTTTGAAAGAGGTAGGTTGCCAACAACATTGGGTTGCGTGATAACTTTTATGACGTCATCTGGGATGCCCAAACATAATGCTAATCTTCATCAAGGCTGATACACACTACTACTACAGGATGGCCTTTCCTCATAAGGCCTGTGTGTAACAAATCCCCCCCACGCCAAACAATCAGTTGTGACGTAAGCAGCATGGTGTTTTTCGCCTTGACGTAGGCTATTTAAACAGCAGACGACTTAGATATGACGTCAGCAATGGTTGAAAACCAATATGGCGGCGATTATCAAAATCGAGGCCGATAAGCACTTCTTAGGGTGTGTATTCTCCTTGAGTCTTTATAAGGTCCTCCCGATGACGTTATCTGCTTACCAATACCAGACATCCTATCAACTTTAGGAACCTTGGCCTGGTTGACAGTGTTGGCAGTGTTGGCACACAAAAAACGGAATTATAAATACACTGTGCGAGTTCGGACATAACGTATACTGAGACAGATTTTTTTACACGTGACTTCAAACTAATGAGATGACACTATCAAAAATTTTCATCTCTTGGAGCCATTTTTTGAACTCATACAATGGCAATTTGACACTTATCTGACATCTTTGACTTGTACCTACCATAGAATAACTTGCACCGACAGTTCATTGGTACCGACTCGTATTCTAACCTCATAAAAAAATCAAAATGCCAGCTGGTTGGCAGATTATGTGTATTCGAACTACAGAAATTTCTAACTAAGCACAGTTGAGAAAACTAGAAAACTCTTATCTTTTTGATGTGAAACTTCTTAAGCAGCGGTCTGATATTGCGACGAGAATGGAGAGTGATTCATGAGTGGCAAATTTCGTTACGAGAGAGAGAAAAAAAAATATAACGTAGAGAGTCGGAGAAAGACAGCTAATGACAATAGCTTTATTTTGAGCTGTTTTCTTGCGGTGGAAATAATTTGATCCGGTTCAATTAGGTTCGAACCTGTACATTCTTGCGTTGAACCAGTGACGTCACATTGAACCTGGTTCAAAAAAGTTCGAACCGGACCCATGGCTTGTTCTTCGTTGACATAGGAGTATTTCAAACCTTCCATTTTCTTGCGTTCACAAGTGTTGACGTCATCAACAAATTGGTTTAAACCGTAATTCGAACCATTCGCCCCGCGAGAAAACACCTTTGGTTTCACGCAGAACTATACCATTTCCAAGTCTAAGCGGCAGTGAATGACAATAAATAACCCAAAATGTAAACAAACACCAGCCTTCCTATTGGTGGATACGCCCTACCAGGACCAGTGCGCATGCACGCAGGACATTTGATTGGTTGTAATGAAAATTACCAGTTAATGTCATTACTGCCGCTTGGATTTGGTTTAACCATAGTTCGGAATTATTATGCACATGCGCATGTTATTAAATGCGTTTTTCTTTATTCAGAATCCCAATCGAACTGTGTTGACTGCGTATTGGTTCATTTAGAACTACATAAGAACAATTTTGGGTTTGTTCTAGAACTTCTCTCAGTTCTTGCTTTGAAAGAGGAACTGTTTTGTAATTTTGTGATTGATAAGCGCCTTGTTTTGGTCTTTCCGGTTCCAAATCGGTTCAGAATTAGTTATATGCCCGTATTACATCTGTGTATTTTTCCGTGTATTTATTAATGTAGTTCAGGCAGGGTGCCAACATTATTTTGAATCGAATTTTCGCGACGAAATACTTTCATGATTTCATGAACACAAACGCTTTCACGAGAAACCCATGACGTCATATTGAATGTAATTCAACGGAAGCATGGATGCAGCTACAGCGTTCAAACTCATGACGTCACAGATGATTCGTCCTTGGATGAACTAAAGTCTGTTTTTTTTTTAAAGATAAAAGTCAAAATGACATTATGTTGGCAATACAATGTAAAATTGTCAATGCTTTCGAATTTTTATGTAGAAAAGGCTTGTGTTGCCAACATAGTTACTAAATTTTTGACTTGGGGAATTATCTTTAAAAAAAAACAGACTTTACTTACATTCGTCGCGAAAATTCGGTTTTGTTTTTCATAATGCTGGTTTATGTTGCGTTTGAAGTTTTTGGGCTGTCACCTTGAACTACATGAATAAATACACGGAAAAATACACAGATGTAATACGAGCATTAGAACATTCCTCCATTATTTTTTGTGCGCAAGCGGTTCTGCGCAATCCCAGAACCGTTCCAAATTTCGAACCAAAACAGAGCTAATGACAGCCGGTCATTGCAACCGACGAACGATTGACACAAACCAAGGATTATGAGCAGAGAGGATTGCCTATTATTGTCAAACGCCGATACCCTTGTGACGTCACTACAGATGCGCGTCTCCCTTTTATGTGGTACTTCGTCTTTACCCCGACTCATACGCTACCCAAGTCTGAAAGTTGAGTTTCACTTCTTAACACATGTACGATGCTACACATGATTTTTTTCTTTATAATGGATTTCCATATCATCATAAATACTATTATTGATTATTAATGTAAATGGGAAGTTCTTTTGGTCAGCCAGAATCCAGCCAAATATGTAGAGAATAAATTTACCCAGAAACTTTTAATAGGGCTGTTCAACAAAATAGAAATTCCCATGGTAACTTCCTGAAGACTAGAAACGTTTCCTGCTTTTTTTTTGTAGGAAATAACTGGACGAGAAGCGGAAATGGACAATACCGAAAGTTGATGTAGGACAGAAAGTGTATGAATGTGCATAACTTTGTGTCCAGCTTTAATGAAACTTTACCCCAATGTTAACTCCATAATTGTGTTAAATACTTTGGGAAATTGAGGCACTTTGAAATTCAAAATAAGGTCCTTGTCGATTGATGATGAGCATCCAACTGAGCGTTACAAAATGAAGTTTTCCAAAATAGAACAAAAACATAGGTGTATCGAAATATTTCCTTACGGTTCCAGAAAAACAAAAAGATTCGGATGAATTAGAATTAGGCACCATTCTAAATATAAACAACACGAAACAATTATTGCGAATCAAAATGCGAAAAACTCAAAAATAAAATGGGGCCGGCTATTTTTGAAAACGCGAACCAATTTTTTGAACAAAAAACACAACAAACGTTTGATAATTTTAGAAAACTCTGTGGTCTGTTGATACGGAAAATTGTTTCCTTTCCACTTTGTACACATATTTTTTGGTGGTAAAAGTTGGTTTTCCTGTTCCTTTTTGTCATAGTAATAAAGTAAAATGATGGAGCTCTCACAAGGGACTTTCACCCTTAAAACCGCACGCACAACATTGAATAAACAAGGTGGAACAATTTTCGTTTTTAATCCTCTTTTAATAAACCTTTTGACAATATGTATTCTCATTCAAATTATTAAGCCAAAAAATTCTCCCTTTCTTTTCGTGTTGTGTCGCTTTTGTTTGCCCTACTTAAAAGCCCTTTAAATGCGATTCTCAAACAATGATACCTAATTAGTTTAAGTTTTACCATTAACTGAAAACTTATTAACTCAAGATTAATGGGTCTCGCAAGATGAATAATTGATAAAAAAAAATTATAAGATTAGAAACAATAAGGAAAGTTTCAGGCATCGATAGTTTAAATGATTGTAATCAAGTGCAACATGTCAAAATAATTAACATTTTCCCCAAAAAAAAATTAATGAGACGCCTTCTCAATATAAGAAGAAACAGGAGCTAAATTAAATCCAATACTGCCGGTAATAAATTAACTTTACACCCTACAATTAAAGCCAAAGATAGACGACAATTCCGGGTAACGAGAACGTTGTTATCCGTTTCTCTTCTTCCCGTTCTACTTGGGGTTTTACTTCCATCAAGTTTTCGATTTTCCAATTGTAGGTATAATTGGGTTGGTTAAAATGCAATCCAATTTTCTTTTTGGTAAAATTCTATTTTTCAATACAATAATTGTCTTTTGAAAAAGTTGAGTTGTTAGATTGTGATTTTGTCATCCTGTATGACATTGTTTTTGCTTAAAAATTTCATGTTAACAACCCTCAGCCCTAAGGGTACATAGTTGGTAAGCTCAAAAATAAATATTCGAATTTTAAATAAAATGAGGACAAAACAGGGTGTTTTCTAATAATCGAATGTCAATATTTAAGCAATTTTTGGTTCGATTCCGAAAGTTTTCTTCTCATAATGGACCTTTAGCAAGAAAGAAAGTGGAATTTATTTTGTAATTAGAACTTTAGGCCTTTGGTCTGACAAATAAGAGAAAAGCCAGCGGACCTAATTCGTTTTATTTCAAATTTAGAAAATTAAATTATTGTCTGGCCTTTGTCATGAGACCTCAGACGAAACCATCTCATAGATTGAATTGAAATAACCTAATTTCACAAAAGGAAAATGGGAATTTTTCCAATTTGTTTCGTTTTAAATATTTAGTGAGAGACTGAGGCAAAGAAAGAATTGAATTTTTCCAAGGATACCGCAAAAAAAGTGACCATTTGGGAAATGTAAAGAGAAAATCCTGGAAAGGGCAAAACATTGAACTCAAATAGCATCTTGAAAAAGATTATACAATAAAAATAATTTTGTTCTTTTCCAGGATACCAACCAGGATCAACTCGGCAATCGGTAGAAATTGGTTTTAAGTTTTAATCGCCCGTCAGCGGCATACATACACGACCAGAAAGGAAATAGAATACAATTTTATCAACGATGTAATGACGTGGGACTCCGAATCGGGCTTATCTTCCAGTGCACGTCTATTACTGGTAAAAACGCAGTCGAAAATGAGTGTGCGATTTTTATTTTTGTGAATTTTCAAGAAGGTAAGAAATCTATTTAATCAATTGAAACCGGGAGTTTGGCAACATTGTATTAATGAAAATCGAGTGACGTGGCAGCATGGACCACCCTGTATTTATTCTTGTCATTTCAGCACCGCTAGTAAGCAAGGATGATACACACTTCTAGAGTGTGTATGTATTCTCTTTGGCTAGTAAGTAGGGTAAAGATCATTGGTAAAGATCTTCCTCAATGGTGAAGATACTTACTCCAGGGCTGACATTAATGACAAGTGACATTAGCGTCAATAACGTCTCTCGGTGACACTCTCATCACAATTCAAAAACTGTGTTGCCATATTATCGTTGTCATATCACGATGTTGCCATATTTAACAAAAAACTCTTAGATTTCCAGAATGCCTAATCATGTGCAATACATCAGTTGTCCGACGAGGACAATGAGCGTTTCTCCGACTTCAACTCCAGAAGAATTAGGCAGGAGGGCCCTGATCCAGAGAAACGACCTTTTGCTGCACGAAGCCGTGATCAAAAACGACACGGAAGGCGTCAGGAGGATTTTAAAGGAACCGGTCGATGTCAATTCTAGAAATAATGTAAGTCGATATTTTAATCGCCAAACTACTTAAAAGTTGAATCTTTGTCGTTCGGCAAAAAGTTTTGAAACTTTTACGAACTTCTTGTTTTTATCGCTGAAAAACACTTGGGAAATCACGATAAGGGAGGAAACTTATTTTGGAATTACGTGCAAGGTGCTCGGGAAACTAAATGAGGAAAAGTTTGAGATTAATGGAATAATGAAAATCAAAATCCAACCATAGTGCTGATTTTATTATACTTCCATGAAATTTTAATAAAGCTGCAATGGGATTTCTGCAATTCCCAATTAATTATCTATCATTTGGATAAAATTTTCTACGAATTGAATAAGCCACATCCAAATTGAAACTTCCAACACAGATAGGGTATCATTTAATTATATTTTCTTCGCAATTTGCAAAGAATAATCCTAAAATGGAAAACAATTAAGCCTCTAAAATATAGAGACATATCTCGCTATCTCGCGCCCGCTTTAATTCAATTAATGTTTAATCAAATAACTGTTTGTTTGCATTTAATTAATGATTGCTTGTTTGTCTTTTATTTCGCTAAGTATGGCAGAGCGCCAATCCACTGGGCCTCGGCCAGAGGTAATATCGATATTATGGAACTGCTGTTGAACGCCCATTGCGATGTCGAAGCCAGGGACAAGGTAAGAACTAATTGTAGCTGTAGAATAATCGAGTATTAATAAGTGAGGTTATCCTTTGACAAAGAGTGCAAACATACTTATAATCAATTTTCGGATTTTCAATGGTATTTGGCAACCTCGACTTCAGATTTTTGCATTTCTTTCGTCATTAACCGAATTTTTGCGACGAATGTAGTCCATCCAAGGATGAATCATAGTTCATCTTGTGACGTCATGAGTTTGAACGCTGGCTTGAAGTTGCGTCCATGCTTCCAGCGAATTACGTTTAATATGACGTCATGAGTGTCTCGCGAATGCGCTTGTATTCATGAAATCATGAAAGTAGCACGTCGCGAAAATTCGGTTTATGTGTTAGCTGAAGTTCTTTTTCTTCAAGTTTTATAATTTGGCAACAGCGCACTTATATTTTTGATCATTAAATTGTCAGTAATATGTAATTTGAAAACCGTTATCAAAAGAAATTTTAGATTATTGAAAAACTTTGCTGCGATTTTGGATTTGGAAAGGTATTTGACAACAATGCCCAAATTTTAATTTATTTTACGAAACTTTTTCTATCGAAATTTTTTCGAAAATATTTAAATTTGACAGGAAGTTTTCTTAAAAATAAACAAATTTCAACTTTATGCTTTTTGTTGCCATCTTGCAGAGGTAATAACTGTCACAAAAAAAGCAGTTTTGACTGTTATGAGAATTAGGCAATCCACACGTGACCACGTGATTCAATATGGTCGTTCAAGTCAAATATTATGGTGACGTTCATAAAAAAAAAACATTTGTGTTCTGGCCCTTGTTATTGTAGAATTGTAGATGCCAAACATGACAACAATGTCAATCCTAATGTCAAACCTAAACGTGTGACAAAATAAGTAATTTTTGATTGATTTTTATTTTGTAAACAACACGGTGTTTGACCTGAATTTTCATATTGAATTTCGTTTGACAGGTCAATGGAATGCCTAATTGAGAAAAATATTTGACATCCGTCAGTTTAACAAGTCGGTATTAAAAATGTGGCAACGCAGCATAAAATACAGGATTGTCGTTATGTATGGAAACGGCCTAAGATTTCAGAACGCGCTTAAAAAAAATGTACAATATTTCCTACTTGGGTCCCTTATTTTCGAAACCAGGAACCAGCGGTCAAATGAGAAAATATTTCCTGTCTTTATCTGTTCTTTTCGTATTTGCATAGCACTGACAAAGATAGAGCAATCTATTTCATAGGAACACTATTTCCCCGCTTTCAAAAATAGACGTTCGGATGTCTATTCTCGAAACTGGGGAACTGTTTTCTCAAGAGAGCGATTGCTCTGTCTTTGTCAGTGTTATAGAAATATAAATATGGGTGACGAAGACAGAACCTCCGTTCTCAGGATTTCAGGAGAACGCTGCTCCCCTGTTTCTGTTATAAGAATAAGGGCCCTGGGAGTTTTTGGGAATCCCCGTTTCAATGGTGATATTTGCAATGTTGCCAAGTTTACCGTTTCTTAGATGCCGTATCGTTTGTTACTCAATTTTTTTAAATGAAAGTCTCTGTTTACTTCTAAGGCGGGTTTATTAACCTATTGATAAACTGTAAGGATAACAGCACAGTCTGTAATTCCTGGTCGGCCATCTATCCGCCGATCAGTACAATTATAGAACGGTAAATTTATTAGGTTGAATTTATAGTAACTCCTTGAGGTTTTCTCAGATCTTGGGGAAGCCTTGAAGTTTAGAATTGACATGATTAACCTGTCAGATAGTAGCAAGCGTCCATCCTAAACTCACGACCTCCAATGCACTATATTTTCTACAATACAATATTTCCTAACTGGGGGTTTTTGGGAATGCCCGATTCAATGATGATATTTGCGATATTGCCAAGCTAACCGTTTATTGTTATTGTAATTAATTCAGCGTCCCAACATTACCACCTCTGAATGCCAAACCTCCGTTTAAGTTGGTTTTTGAAATATGGCAACATAGCTTTTTTGTTGATATATATAAACACCGTCTCGTATTTCAGAACAAGTTTTAGAGAAATGTTCAAATTCAAGATTTATACAGAGTGTCCTACCGGGAACCGAATCGATCTACCTATATATGAAAAACTGTATGCAGACAATTTTTGAAAATTTGACAGTATACTAATGTCAATGGGGGCAATCCGACTAAAATATTTTCAAGATGTTGGCACTTCCGCTTATACCGGAAGTAGACGTCAACTTGCCCATTTTAAATTAAACACCCTGTATGTGATTGCATATTTGAATTCTACATAAAATTCTGTGCAGATTTCACGGAGTTCAACTATTTTGGAAATATTGACAGTTGAAAATTGACTTTTTGCAACTTTGACAAGCTGTAAAACCTAAACGGTTGATTTTAGAGGAAAACCGATTTTACATTCCTGTCTTAAATTTTTATAAACCATCATTTGACACTATCTTTGAATTTAATCCATGATTAAAAATTCCAGTTGAATTTAATCTCCAGTTAAATTCAAAGTTAGTGTCAAATGATAGTTTATGGAAATCTAAGATAGGAATGGGAAATCGGTTTTCCTCTAAGATTAACCGTTTAGGTTTTACAGCTGTTAAAGTTGCAAAAAGTCGATTTTCAACTGTCAATATTTCCAAAACAGTTGAACTTAGGAATAGGGTATATTACAGTGACTCTATTACCCACAGTGGCGACAATTGCTGTCCTTTTTTTGATTGGTTCTAAAATCCTATACATATATATTGAAAACGCGGCCATCTTGTTCCCATCTATTGCTTATTTCAAATAAAGAGGTTGGGAACAAAATGAAGGGCGGAACCTCTATTGTCGCCACTGTATGTAAAGGTTTGTTTAGCCACTGTAGGGTATATCACATGAAACCTGCTCAGAATTTTAAGTGAAATCCAAATACGCAATCACATAGAGGGTGTCTCATTCAAAATGAGCAAGTTGACGTCTACTTCCGGTATAACCGGAAAAGCCACCATCTTGAAAATATTTTAGCCGGGTTGCCCAGCCCCCATTGACATTAGTACCTATACTGTCACATTTTCAAAAATTTTCTGTATACAGTTTTTCGTATGCACATCGATTTGGTTCCCGGTGGGACACCCTGTAGAAGGGCTGGCTGGCCCAGTTAGAAAATATATACCTACATTTTTCTATAGCCTGTTCTGAAAAACGCGTCAAATGGAAGTTTAGCATTAAGGGGTTTTATGCCCATTTCCACCAACTTTCATAGAGTTTGTCTATGATTGCCTAAATTTGAAAAATGGTTTCCACCAGTCACAATTTTAAAATTCCTAGCTAAGCACTGGCAACAACGCAAAACTTGGGGATTTTCATCAATTTTATCGACTTCCTTTAGTAGACCTAACCTCAATTTGAGCATTTGTCATGTTTAATGTTATTGTTTTAGATCTGGTTTCTCACCCGCAAAAATTTCTAAAAAATTATAGTGATATAAGTAAAAGTAACACACACGGCGTCTTAAAAACGGTGAACTTGGCAATATTGCCAAAATTCTACCATTTGAATCGGGTATTCCCAAAAACCCCTAGGTAGGAAATATTGTAGATAACGACAACCCTGTATAATATGTTATATACACGGTTGACATTATTGACAACGCAACGTCTTACGTGCGGAGATTCCCAGTGTCATAACTGCCATAGAAAGAGATGGCAATTTGATAGGCAAAGGTTTTTTCTGTGGAATAAGGATAGAGAAAAAACGTACTTCAGCAGATTTCTCTTCCACCGGCCCGAGGACCCAAAAAACGCTTCCTTGAGAGAGACGAATGCTGTTGGCAACAATTTCTCGTTACAACGTTGCCAAATGATCAAAGTTACATGATAAAAATGCACGATGCATGACTATCCAGAATCATGCACGGTGCATAAATATTCTATGGAATGGCAACACCGGCTAGTCTTTTTTGACTTCGCCGTATTGAAGGTGGAACAAAAAAAAAAAACGTTTTCGTTCTATTTTTAACTTTTACTTTATCTAGACATTTCATTCTATCCCGTAAGATATTTGCCAACCCTGTATTCATGAAGTATAATTCGCGCCATTTCGATCTGTAGTTGGTGCAACTGGCAACATTGCAGCTTGAAATTAATGACAGCTGTCTAAATTTTAACCTCATGAAACATATGATAATGCATAACAAAAAACATTTTTTTTTTTTTTTTTTGATGGAGGCCCGAGTGTTTTGGGGCGATTTTGCGACACTTCTCTGCACTTAAAGCACAACAAATTCAGCAAAGAAGGGGGCCCCAGAACGGCGTCATTTTGACAGTTTGTACCAACTGTCAGAAAAACAAGGCCTACTATGAAACTTCAATTTTTTGACTTGTGTCATACGTAATTACTAATTAGTGTTGCCACGTTGGTTTTTTTTTCCAAAACCCAGGATTATCGATTCGATGAAAATAATGCAAATTAAATGAAAATTATTGACTGGACTTGACACTTGCCTTTTAATAAAACCAAGGTTGCCAAATTTTTTTAACAAATATCATAGCTAGCTTTGATAATGGAGATATAGGTAATTCATTTCAGAAGTTTATCTACAAGCGTTTGGTTATGACATTTTTACATAACCATTTTTCTAGTATGTATTTGAGTTAGGTCATGAGACTCATAACACAACTAGTGATGTTATGGACTAGGTTATGAATTCATCACACGACGAGTGGTGTTATGGACTAGGTTATGAATCTATTTTTGGTGATTTGACAAATGTCAAAGTTAAACCTGTAAAGGTGAAATGAAGGTAGACAACTGCTAATAAACGAATAGTACATTAAAATACAAGTTTCATAAGACGTCATTTTTCGCGAGTTTTCTAAAGGGCGACTGCGATAAAATGTCTTATGAAACGAATATTTTATACTATTTTTTCTTTTTTGGTATTGTTCAATTAAAAAAAACAAGTTTTTCTTGGAAATTTTATTCTCATATTTCCTGATTTCATATGTTTAGGTTGGTAACACTGCATGCCAAATATAGAAATCTGCTATTATAAAATCGCGAATGACAGTTCGATGGCCATCAGTCAGCCAGTGTAACCAACCTCCGATAAGTAAAAAAGGAGTGTCACAAAGAGCTTCTTTTCGAAACTACTTTTAGTGTCGAAAAGACTTCGATATGACACCAAAATAGAAAATAGTACATTAAAATACAAGTTTCATAAAATATCTTATAAAACGAATATTTTATACTATTTTTTCTATTTTGGTATTGTTCAATTAAAAAAAACAAATTTTTCTTGGAAATTTTATTCTCATATTTCCTGATTTCATATGTTTAGGTTGGTAACACTGCATGCCAAATATAGAAATCTTCTATTATAAAATCGCGAATGACAGTTCGATGGCCATCAGTCAGCCAGTGTAACCAACCCCCGATAAGTAAAAAAGGAGTGTCACAAAGAGCTTCTTTTTGAAACTACTTTTAGTGTCGAAAAGATTTCGATATGACACCAAAATAGAAAAAATAATTTGAAAAACATTTTTATTTTTCGCTTTATAAATAAAACGTTGTACATCACACGTGCGTTTAAACATGACTACAAAATTCGTGTGATTAGAACGACTCGGTCTACGACCTCGTCGTTCTAATCTTTCACACTCGTTATTGTAATCATGTTCATAAACGCACTTGTAATGTAAATACCTATTATCTCACTAGCCAGGTCAGGAATAGATAAAAAGGCGATATTGCCAAATATGTCTACAATTTCTCTAAATTTAAACACATTTATTTTGTTTAAATAAAAGATTTTGGTTATGGTCGATAGAGCATAAAGGTCAACAAAAAGACATAATGAATATAGATAAAACTATTGTAGCTGCACTTATTATCAGCCAAGTTACGCCGTTTTATTAAAACCCAAAAGCATGTTATTAACTAAATTGGCTTTTTATGTTTTTGTTTATTCACCTTCTGATAAACTGTCAGGTAATGCAATCTGACGGATGAACACGCAATCTATAATTCTATTGGTTGGCCATGCAGTTAACCGCAGACCGATAGGATTAGAGATTTTAAAATTTGCAGACAGTTTGAAGATGAATAAACTAGGTCTAGAAAAGTATCTATTCAATGGTAGAGAAAGTAACAATCAAAAGTTAAAAGATAACCTCAGGCGTAGTTTTTGAACCTAACATTTTTGTGCTACTAACATTTTTTTCTAGTACGGCATGCAACCCTTGCACATGGCAGCGTGGCACGGACATCCAGAAGCCGTCAAATTATTAATAAACGTCGGAGCTTCAACTAATGCCGTTACGAAGGTGAATATTGTAACTTTTTAATTATCCTAAAAACATGCGGTTAATTAATTAAATTTTTATGAGAAAATCAATTTTCATTTAAGTAACTAATAAATAACTATTAAAAAATAATTAAGTAAATGGATCGTGAAAAATTTAATAATAATATATTCGTCGTACACTTAGATGTTATGAACTTTTTGATGGAGTTTTTTCAATATTAATTTTGTAATAACACGTAAAGTGGGATGTTGTATGCGAGTGGCTCATAAATATTTGATGAATCAGTTTATCTATATTATCTAACGTTTTATTCCATAATGCGCATCACTAATCCAGGCCCAATACACGCTACTAATATGCGCAGCCCGAAATAACCGAACCGACGTCATCGACTTCCTTTTGGACACTTTAGAAGACGTCCAAATTGACGCCGTAGACGGCGAACAGCAAACCGCCCTTTCGCATGCCGCAGCTAACGGGCACGTTGCTATCGTTAAACGATTAATCGAAATGGGTGCCGGATTAGACAAGAAAAACAAGGTACAACTTGTCTGTATTCATGTATCTTATTTGTGTCTATGTGTCTTTTAAATTGATTGCAATGATTGTTTCAGGAAAGTAAGTCGGCGTTGCACGAAGCTTGTCAGGGCGGACACGCTGAAGTAGCTCAGCTACTGTTGGCTCGCGAAGCTGACATGGAAGCACGTGACAGTCAAGACAATACGCCGCTGCATTTGGCTGCGCAGCACCAGCAAAACAGGTTGGTGCAAATTTTGTTGGAAAACGGTGCTGATCCAGACAGCGAGAATCAAGTAAGGATTAGATCCTGCTATTTCTAAGAAATATAATTATTATTTGATGGTTACAGGTATGTATTAAAATGTCCATTTTTTTTTCAGAAAGGTAACACAGCTCTTCACATAGCGGCCAGCTTAGGCAGCAAAGGTATCCTAGATTGTCTCTTGCAACACGGAGCTTCGCTATCGGTGCAAAATCAGGTAAGGCGATAAGGCGGGAGGTAAAAATAAGCCTACTTGAGTATAGCCAAGTGGATTTTGAAAACCCCTCAAGCTCGAATCGACTTCGATTTCGAGAAGTTATCTGTTGACCGGGTTTTGAAGCGGACAATACATGATTATGTGTAACGATCGATTTTTCGCATTCAGAATTTGGATAACTTATATGTATAAAAGATAAGAGTCGTTGACTTATTTTGGATATGCTAATGAGATTTTTATTATTGTACTAAGTGATGTTATAAGTTCTTCAATTAATAAATCATTTCTGTTTGAAATATGAGAAGGAAAAATTCAATTTTACTTCGATTTTCTGTCTCAAAAACGAGTACATTGATAAATTATGTAGTTTAACGCTAAGATGTAGGGTAGAGAAACAAAGGACGATATGCTAGAAAGTTAATCAAAGAAAATATGTTTCAACAACCCATAATGGAAAACTGAATCCTCGTATGCCACCGTTTTTAGTATGAAAATCTCCCCGTAGTAAAACAATTTTATTTGCCCAATATAATCAGGAATGGAGTGCCGTTATTCGGCTTTCAAAAATCGTAAAAATACCCGATTTTTATAGGGATCTCTTTTTCAGAGCCGATAAATTTGAAACGATTTTTCCCCGGATTATATACGAGCCCTATTCTATTTGCTTAATGGATAACTAAATACTAATAGGTTTTTTTTCAAATTATTTTTAGTGTGGTAATACGGCCCTGCACATGGCCTGCCAATCCAACGCACTCGATACAGTAGAAATATTAATTAACAAAGGAGCTAATCTTAATTGTTTAAATAAGGTAAGTGAATTTACATAAATTACAGTGTTAGTTGACAGTTTGAACGATGAGTCACAGTTGACAGATAAAAAATACATATTGAACGTCATTTGTCAACCAATCAGTCTTTGATGACGTTAAATGCATAGTTTATCTACCAAGATTGCTCACTTGTCAAACACTTGAAAACGTCCCTTGTCATTGTCAAATGGAAATTTTGCATTTGCCTCTTCCTGTTACACGTTCCAACAGATAAAGGCTATTTATTTCTTTGAATATAAAACTACAGGAAGGAGCATAACTTCGAATCTGCGCGACCAAAATATGTGGAGGTTGCATATGGCCGACTAGTATTTCCGGTTTGGCAGTAGCGTATATTTATTTAAATATGATTGTCAATATTATGACTCACTCTTTTCTCACTAATTCCAGTACTTATCATCACTTAAAACCGCTAAAATCCATTAAACATCCACTTAAATGAGGACACGGGAACCACCAAAACAAATGATGAGTCCAAACTTGGAGGCTCAAAATGGCGGCTTCCGTCGCTTTTTTGTTTGCAGTGACAGATAGACAACGCTCCTTCCTGTAGTTTTATATTCAAAGATTTATTTAGGTCAAGAAAATAATTCTACTTTACAGTGCACACAATATGTACAGTGACAGTTGACATTTAAAGCACTGTTTATCTATCAATTGTCAGAGAAGTGAGTAATAGGCTCGAAAGTGCAATCAGACTAGTGATCACGTTTTTGATTGGAAAAATAAGGCAAAACCTGGATTTTTCTATCTGTTTCTTTAAGTCTGAGAGAGAAAGATGGAAATATATTCAGTGCGCATTGGATCTTTCAATCAGATACGCTATAAGCGGCCTTTACGGTCTTTACGGAAACGCTGATCCGATTAACCCGATCACAGGCTGATGAACACGATTGAAAAACGACAAATTACATCAGCTAGGGATCGGATTAATCGGATCAGCGTTTCCGTAAAGGTCTAAGATGTATCTATTTGAACTAGTAATATTTGATATCTTTGTTTGCATCAAAATTAATTTGCTGGAAAGAGACAGAAGACATTATCTGTATTGGATAGCATCTCCTCGATACAATTTTGTTATCTTTTTCTATCTTAGCAAAATCAATAAAGTGGGAATAATCAGGAATCCATGTATTAATGAATCGTTTGAGAAACGTCCTAAAAACGTATCCGGACGAACGTCCGAACGGATTAACAAAAATTGAACTAACGTCAGAATTTTTCAATGATCGTTGATCGATAAGTCACTGTTGACTGATGAATAATAAATTGTCAACCAATAAGTCTTTGATGACATTAAATGCATAGTTCATCTGTCAAGATTACTCAGACGCTTGAAAACTTCCATTGTTATTGTCAAATGAGAATTTTAAATTTTTATGCAAAAATTTATATCGATTCGATATTTCGATATTTTGTAATTTTGATATCAAGAACTTACAATTTTTGTAAGTTCGATATTTTGTATTTTCTATTTCTATAATAAACTTTCCAGTCTTTCCATAGCCATTCCATGGCCGAGCAGCACCAAAATTCGGCGTTAAAGAGTTAAAGACTCTAAAGGCGATTTCGATTTTATTCTACTTTTGCACTCAGTGCACACTGTTTTTGACAGTTGACATTCAAAGGTTTATCTTTTAACTGTCAAAAAAAAGGGCGCACTAGGCACGCTACGCACTCAAAAGTACAATCAGAATCGAGATATCACACTATTGGCGCTTTCAGATTGGAAGAATTAAGCAAAGAAAATGTTTTTCTATCTGTTTCTTTAACAATCTGAAAGAAAGAGATATAAATACACTCAGTGCGCATAAGATGTGTCCATTTCAATTAAAAATGCTTGACATCTCTGTCTCCGTCAATAAATTTGCTAGAAAGAAACAGGTTACGTTATCTGTATTGGATAGCATCTCCTCGATACAATCTTGTTATCTTTTTCTATCTTATAAAATCAATAGACAGGGAAATCGAGAACCTAGATAGCACAGAAACGTTTGAAAAAGGTGTTAAAAACATATCCGATCGGACGACAGAACGTTTTAAGGATTAACAAAAACCGAATTTTCGCGACGAATGTAGTTCATCCAAGAACGAACATGGTTCGTCTGGTGACGTCATGAGTTTGAACGCTAGCTAGAAGCTGTGTACATGCTTCCGACGAACTACGTTCAATATGACGTCATGAGTTTCTCGCGAAAGCGTTTGTGTCACAATTGAACGAGTTAATAGTTTAGGCATACATATTCAACAAATATTTTCATTAAATAATCAAAATCAAAGTTGCAAGCAAAACTCTAAGCAAAATAATTTAAAATATCTACGCATAAAAACATATTCAAAACAAACTTGCTTGGCCGCCACGCCATATTGAATTTTCCTATTTGACAGATGGATTGGATCGCCTAATAGTTTATCTGTCAAGATAACTGTCCCCGGATTCTATTTTACGAGTCGAGTCGGATTATTTCGATATCGAATACGACAGCTCCGGACGTACCGTGTATTACGTATTGAAATATCGTAAAATAGAATCGCTATTTTGACAATTCGATACGAATTACGACTCGACTCGTCAAATAGAATCCGGCAGATTTCTATCGCTTGAAAACTTCCCTTGTCATTGTCAAATGAAAATTTTGAACTTTGGTGCGAAAACCAATATCGATAGTTTGCGGTTTCGAAATTTTAAACTTGACATCAAGAGCTTACGATATTTTGTGTTTTTCAATCTTGTTTCATTTGATAGTCCTTACTTTCAATAATCCACTTTCCAGTCTTTCCATAGCCATATGGATGGCCGGACAGCAAATTGGGCGTCAAAGATTTCAAAGGCGATTCGATTCTACTTTTGCCCTCAGTGCACACTTTTTTTGACAGTTGACATTTGTAGCATTGTTTATCTATTAACTATCAAAAAAAAGTTCGCACTAAGCTCAAAAGTGCGATCAAAAATGTATTTCTATCTGTTTCTTTAACTATCTGAGAGAAAGAAATAGAAAAAGACTCAATGCGCATCAAATCTTCCAAATGGGTACGCCATAAGATATGTCCGTTTCAACTAGTAGGTAATGTTTCCGTCACAATAAATGTGTTAGCAAGAGACAGGAACCATTATCTGAATTGGATCGCTATTGTTATCTTTTTCTCTCTTAAAGAAATCAATAGAGAAGGGAATTGGGAACTCATATTATCGTCTTAAAAACGTATTCGACCGAAGAACGTTTTAAAAACGTCATTTGAAGTAACTTAGAACGTCCACTGAACATTTTTCTCTAGTGCAAATGTCACAACTTCAAGCGTCATAAAGACGTCCTCATCATACCTTTTTAAAAAAACACTCTGACATGCACACTTTTTTACAAAAGACTGGTAAAGTTTTGATTAAAATCCCTTGTTCTATTCTTATTAATTCTTACAGATTACACATTATACAACATAATTGAAAATTTGTCATTATTCTAAGTGTGAAAATGCTAAAAACAGGGCAAAGAAATTACATTTTATTCCGTTTCCATTGTATTTTCCCGTTAACGTCCGTCGTGGGACTCGTTTAAAAGCGGCACAATTTTTCATGGAGTCCTATCGTTAAAACGGACTTTTTAACACGTTTTTTTTTCAACTCAAGAGCCTCTAGATGTGGAAAAAATTGTGCCACTTCACCATGCCCTAACGATGAAATACTGGGCATTAATTTTCTCACCTAGAATTATAAGGAGTTGAAGTAGTAAACGTACTCAATTAAGTTTAATTGAATGTCATACAGGCTTTACGGACCGTATTAACCCGATCACCAGCTGTCTTTCTTAAATGAAGACGATTAAAAAAAGACAGCTGGTGATCGGGTTAATCCGATCATCGTTTCCGTAGAGACAAATACAGCTAGATATGCTTACACATTGCAATAAACTGATTTTTTTTATTTTATAAATGGACAAAAAAGTGTCGACCTTCATTGTGTTCAATATTGAACCAGAAAAAATGACCTTATAGATATAAATTTTTTGTCAGAAGGGACAATGACAAAATGTCTATCGAATGGAAAAAAAGTTCCACAACAGAATTGGATTTGTGAAAAAAAGAAGAATAATGGGGTGGACATGTTTCCTGCTGCTTCGAAAAATAAAGTTTTGTTATCAAAACTTAATGTACATAATTTTTTACAGAAGTTTCGAGATGTTTGATTAAAGTTTTTCGATTAGCAAGCAATCAGTTGTAGTTTGTTCATTGGGGTATTTGTACTTGCAGACCCTTGAATCAATGCTTATGCACTGGATTCTTGTGAATGTGGACTTTGAAATATACACCGGGATTTACGTAGCCCTTGTGTTAGAAGTTGTCCGGTTTGCCGGTGCATTAGTAGAAATACCATCTAATCCACCTGCAAGCTAATGCACGGGCAACGTAAAGCACCCTGTATATTCCAACGAGTATCGGACCTGGGACCATATGCTCCAAAACCCGAGCGTATTTCAACTGGGCCTCTGCAAGTAATCGTAGAAATTGAAGGAATAACACTTACCTACCTTACCTCTAAAGACTCATTTGGCGAATGCTCCTTAGAATCTAAAATATTCCTACGACTAGACTCTTTATAAAAAGATGTATACATTTTTGATGCTCCGTTAATTGAATAAATAAGAAGTTTTTTTTATTTTATCATGTCTCCAGCGGCCAGTTTGGGAACTCGAAAACTATTTTTCAAGGAATATAATTGTTCTCCCTGATGACTAATCGTCTCTGAGGCATAGTGTGTTCCATTTAACATTGAAAATATGTTCCTTTTATTCACTCGAGCATTTATTCCGCATCGCTTTTTATTTATTAATCCAGTAGTCGGAAACAGCACAAAAAGTTAATTTGCATTAAAATACTACGAGCGTAGGGCGACGTGGTAATAAGTCATCCAGGGCGGTTTTCCAGATTCACCGCGACGAGCATAAATATTATCTCTCCTATTTTGAAATTGCGAATCGTGTGCCAGAGAAATAAGGCATCCAGCATAGAATAAATTATGTTTTTAGATTTCAGAAAGCGATAATTTTCAGGGCAAACTATGCCTAAGGGCCTCGCTTGTTACCTTGATTTACAAGGATCTGGTGAGATTCTTGTCTAAAGGTTGTTTGAGAGAGGTAGGTTGCCTGATAACTGTTATGACGTCATCTGGCGAGCCACAACATAATGCAAATCTCCATAAGGCACCCTAGATGACGTCATCAAGTTACACGTTACCAGACAACCTATTAGCTTTAAGAATCTTGGATCTGGTCTATTAATTTAATCTCATACCTACTGTAGAATTTTTAAAGTGATTTTTAACAATATGACAACATTTTAAACACAATATTGCCGCACTTAAAAATTTTCAAATCAAAATCGTTTAAAACAAATCTCTGTATCCTATTTTAGAGGCTGCAGACGCCCATTCACATAGCGGCTGAAATGGGGCACACGGAAGTATGCAAACTGCTTCTGGCCGCAGGGGCGGACATCGAACAAAGGGAACAGGGCGGCCGGACGCCCCTTTACGTCGCCGCCCGCGGCAGTTTCACCGCCATCGTCGACATGATCATCAAAACGGCCCGCTTGGATTATCCAGCGCACGTAAGAATTTTTACACAACTTGGCAATAGTTTATTTATATTAAACGTCAAATAATTTCCGATGCACGTCATCACACTACTACATTACTCGTCGGCCTCGATTTTTGAAATCAAGGTCATATGGTGTTGTACCGACATTGACGTCATCAATGGTGTCATTAGCTGTTTGCGCCAGTAGTACTAAAAACAAATATGCATAAAGCAAAAGCCAGCGGAGCATAGCCTGTGGTGCAGAAACGACACGTCATCACTGGTACTTTGACGTTGTCAGAGGCTTGAGATTTGACCTACCTCTACACAGGCCTTATAAGGATAGCCTATCCTGTGTAGTGTGTAATATGCTTTGCACGTCATAACCTTTGAGTGACGTAGAACGGGGACAGCGTTGCCAGATTCTATATGAAGGAAGTAAAACAAATGTTGCAATTTTCTCAGTTCACCGGTAACTTGAATTAAAATAAAGAAAACTTTGAACACCGTGAAGTAAAACCCAACAATCAAACAAAATGTAAACTTTTGCGTTTTTCAAAAGATAACTACGAAAAAAGTCGAGACCGCATGGCGCAGGCGTTGTTACAAAGTGACGTGATGGATACCTACCACTCGAATTTGAGCGGTATGTTGCGGTTTGTTAAACCGGAGCCACGTGAAAAGGGTTAATGTAGCCAACATGGAGATTGATGACGTGCATCAAAAATTGTCATTTTCAGTTGTACCAATAATTTGCATTGTTGCCAAACATATTGAATTTTAAAATTATTTCAGGATGAGAGCCCCGAAAACAAAAAAGACAGTTCCGGTTTGAGACCGAAACTGAGCCGCAGGTGGCGCTCGGCGTCCAAAGACGAAACCAAAGCGAAAGAATACGAAAGATTGAAAGAAATTTTGTATAAATTGGCCTTCAAGCATTTGAGCCACGGCGAATGGAAAAAGCTCGCTTACCATTGGGCGTTCACGGAAGACCAAATTAAAGCTATAGAACACCAGTATAATGGTATAAAATGGCAACGTTGTATTTTGTTTTATACCAATTGGTTGATTTCAGGTCCGTCCAGTTACAAGGAGCACGGATTTCGTATGATGTTGATATGGGCGCACGGGCTGACGTCCGAAATTAATCCCATGAAGGAACTCTATGAAAGTTTAGTGGCTATTGGGAAGAGACCTTTAGCAGGTAATCGATTTTGAATAGCGCGATTCATACTATACGTACCGGCACCGTACCGTCAACGGCAAGTCAAAAAATCTTACATTGAAAGCAATGGTCGTCAAGATTTCTTAAGGATAATATTTGACGTGTTGTTGACGGTTCGTATAGTGTGGATCGCGCCTAACGCAAACTTCACCTGTTAAATTTTGTGAAGTGATGTCGCGTGACGAGACGAGAATATTTACGCTCTTTTGTCTCGTCTCGAAAGTGCAAACAATGTTACTCTCGTCTGAATGAGATCCTCAAGAAGAAAAAGGAATTTTCTCGTCTCGTTTCGGACGTCCTCGAATTTTCAAATGACTGTTTTTTATTTCTGTTCTAGATACGCTGAGAAGAAAAGTCGATCAAGAAAACGAAGCGCGGCGTAGGGGCCAAAACGATCAGAGGTGCAGCAAATGCTCTATATGCTAAAAATAAACATTATTGTAAATAGGCCCTTATATTTTAATTTAGAATATCATATCATAATAGATTTATATTATATTCAGTAGTATCTTGATCAAACCTTAGGTAGTGCCTTTTCCTCCATAAAAAGTCGCATATCAACAACTACCTGAAAAATATTCATCGGACCAAAAAAAAAAATGTTATTTCATATCATCATTGTAGCTTTTAAGACAAAATTACTCTTTCCTCCAAAGCATTTCGGCTAATGGCGTTACTTGTCAATATACAGATCGGACCAACCAACTAGACACATAATACGAATTAGCTTGTACCTGGTAATAGCGAATCGTGGCAGTGATATGGGTAATATGGGTATCAGTCAACTGGTCCCAGCCTATGTGTTTAGTAGCCTGGTCCTGTCTGTACGTATGGAATAGAAGCATGTATAAATTAGAAGATGTTTATCGGCAACTGAAGAAGAAGAAAGCAAAAAGATGTGTCACAGTAGTTTAAAGTCTTATTATTTGGACCAAAACGTGCCATTTTCCTCTGTTCATGTTAATATTATCTCAACTTTAAAGTTATATAAATGTAAAATATATATACTTCTTCAAATTAATTCTCCCTGTATGCCATCCAAATCTAGATTTATAAAATAATGTTATAGATTTCTTTATTATCTAAGAGAGTTTATTGCAACGGAAAAATATTACTATTAAAATTAAATAACAAATTTCCTATCTATTTAGGTATAACGTTCGTGTGTTTTTATGTATTTACGATTATATTTTTCCCAGAAATAGTAATAATCAATTAATTGAAATTTGAATTAAATATATATAAAGTTGTTTCATTTAGACTAAAGTGCAGTTATTTTTTGAATTCCCCTTCCAAACCAAGGATAAACACTACTACTTCAGGATGACCTATCTTCATAAGGCCTGTGTGTAACAAATTCCCCCCCTCCAAATTACCAGTTGTGACGTAGGCAGCATATTATTTCTCGCATTGACGTAGGCCGTTTAAACAGCTGACGACTTAGTTATGACGTCGGAAGTGGTAACACATTAATATGGCGGCGATGACCAAAAACGAGGACGATAAGCAATCCTTGCAGGTGTGTATCATACTTGCTTCCAAACATAGTAGGTCTGTTTCTGCAGAAATCACAAACCAGTCAGAGTGAATTTCATTGGTTGAAACTAGTTTTTTGACCGTTTCTGACTGTTTTCATGAAATGAAATTCGCTCTCAGTGGTTTGTGATTTCTGCAGAAACAGACCTAAGTACTAGTTTTGCAGTTTCACGCAAGAAACTTTATGCGCGTCCGTAAAAAATCAATAAGATTCTGCCATACCGTGAAGCAATAAAGATTTAAATCCACAAAACTGGTAATAGGTGGCGTTTGTTGAATCCCTTGTTCAATTTTATAAGATTTCACAGAATGGATTATTCACCTTGCGTTCGGTATTTTGTTCAAAGAGCAGAGCGTGCTAAGTGAAGCCGTAATCACGTGATCAGCGAGAGCACAGAGCAGTTAAAGGTTGTAACAGAGTGCTCGAAATTTTAATAATAAAATGCGAATGCGAATGAGCCGGCACCGAGCTCACTTTTTAAATAAACGAACCATAAATTAAAAGCTCGGAGAACTCAGTACAAAATACCGAACGCACGGTATGTTTCAAGCCGCAACAATTTTTAAACTGATGGGTTATCTCGTGTTTTAATGAGAACTCGCCCTGAGAGTTGAAAACAAAGAAATTACACACTACACAGGATAACCCAACCTCATAAGGCTTGCTTGTGTGTGTATTAGATCAAATCTCAAGCCCCACCATGCCATAGTACCACTGATGACGTAGACAGTATGTCGTTTCTCGCGTTAACGGAGGGTGTTTGCACCACAGACTGATTCCGCTGGTTTTTACTCTATGTATACTTGGTTTTAGTACAATAATTAACATTCTAGAACAACCTATTTTTAGATCTTATTTGCATGTTCTTCTTTGCCTAATAATATGTTAATCAAAATTAAATAATTTTTTTTATCATAAATGTATGTTGATCGACTAAACTACGACCGCTGGCGCAAACAGCTAACAGCCCTGTTGATGACGTCGGCAATAGTGCAAAACACCATGACCTTTATTCCAAAAATTCAGCAATCCTGTGATAATATGTAATAACCTTGAGTTGAAAATATCTTACTTAAAGTCACTGTAACTTAAGGGGGCGTGCTCTACCTCCCACCTCTATACAAAATTACCCCCACCACAAAAGTTATGGTTGTCATCCGTCATTCGCGATATCTGTCCACTGTCACTCGCATCATTCGCGCCATCTATCGTTCATCATCTATGCAGCATGTATTAGGGTCGGTTTCTCAATAGCGAGTCAACTTCGGGTTGGTTTCAACAACTCCTGGGTAAACGTGTCCAATTGCAATGTTTACCCTCTGGAGTTATGCTTAACCCGGAGATGACTTGCTATTGAGAAACTGGCCCTTAGTAAGTACTAAGTAGTAGGGTAGTAGTTTTCCAACAACCTATAATAGGGTACCTACTTGCACAGTTTGGATTTTACTTTTTCTCGTATCCGTGGGCCGAAAGTTAATGAAATTTTTAAAATTTATTGTATTTTTTGACGTTTACTTTCGGCCCACGGGTCGAAAGTAAATTTTCGACCCGTGGGCCGAAAGTAAATGAAATTGTTAATTATTGTATTTTTTAGTTTTAATTCAAATGAAAATTTCAAAATTCGAATGATTGTAAATAAAATAGTATACATACCTCCGTGAAAAGTTTCATTACTGTCTCGAGGTTTCAGTTAGACCTCGGCTGAAACTCTCGACAGTAATGAAAAACTTTCCACCTCGGTATGTAATATACTATTGTTAACAGGTTCTCAAAACATTAAAATCAACACGCAGATTTTGCACAGTCACAACTCACACGTCCTGTATCACGCAATCTTTGTAAAACGGGCACAATGTTCTTTCATCAGGTGGGTGCTTTTCTTTTGGGAAATCTCTTCCTAGTTTCCTTGTAAATTCTGGCGGCTAAATGAGCATTTTACAACGTTTCTGCCCAAACAAGTATCTGCCTATTCGATGTTTCTAAACATTTTATTTTCAAAATGAATTTGAATTACGCGCGTTTCCCAACTAGACAAAACAAATCAAGAATCAATAATTTATTCAGCTCCACCAAGATTCAACCTTCAACCACCTATTCTTTATTGTGCTGTGTTGCCAGATGTTTAGATACCCTTTTACAAGTGAAATTTGTATGTTGTTTTTTCAATTTTTTGTTATTGTTGTTGACTAAAAATGCATAATTACTTAATAATTGGATGAACTAAATTTTTCTACATCTCATAATGATTAAAATTTTCTTTACCTTTGGAATATTCGTTAAAAAATATCGAAACTTCAAAGGCCTTTTTCTCAAAAATGGTTGAGTTTGGACCCCATGTTGTATAAACTTTTTTTGTTCAAAATGGGCCATATTTTCACGTGTTAAAATTTTTGTAGTCAAACCTGATACACCCTGTATGAATTCAATTGTTAATATTCAAATTTCAAAAAGTCTGGAAAACGAATTTTATTATTTATTTATAAAATCGAATATCCTATGGTAAATTTTAATATAATTTCGATAGTTCTTGGCGTAGGCTTATGGTAAATCTTCAAATTAACGGAATTAGGTACACTGTCAATCACCGACCGACGCGAACTAAATTTCGAAAACAGTCCCTTAATCCCGTTAAAATCCGGCCGCGTCAGCGTGCGAGAGCAGAAAAATAAATTTTAATTACATCTCCTTTAAATCCCGGAGACACGACAAGAATGGATTTGAATTCGGTAGAGGAATCAATTCGTAGAAGGTTTAAAAATGGAAAGATCGACCTTGTAGCTGGAAAAGTTGCATTTTAATCGAAAAAATTACGGACAACATTTATAAAATACTATAGACGAAGTTTCTATGCGAAGTTTGAGAGATTATTATTCATCATCATCTTGCCTTCCTACCTATATCTTTTTCATAAAGTTGTAACACTAAAATGTGTAACATCCTGAAGATTTGCTTTTTAAACTATTCAGTAATATTCAGCTTTAAATGCTCGACATGAGAGGGAAAGACCACCACATGAGAATATTGTAGTGCAGAAGTAAGGAACATTTCAAGTGAGAAGAGGAAAATCTGTGAAAATTTGGAAAAATTCATCCAAGGTATAACATGATTATTCGAAAGATTCCTATATGTTCGATTGACATTTTTATCATTTACCCGAAATCCGCCTGCATGCATACAATTAAAAGCCCTCTGAAAACCAATAAAATACCGTTACGATTAAATGGGAAAACAACAATCGGAGTAGCGCCTCCCAGTTCAGTCAGTTTTCAGCATCTCGTTTTTCCCGCTTTCCATTAACATCAAAGACACTCGCGACGGTGGAACTAAAAAGTGTGCAACAAAATGATTATGTTTAAATTTTACTCAATATTTTGGCTCTTTGGTTCGTTGACAGCAAAAGAAATTGTAGTTAGAATAGAAGGTGGGCCTCTTGTAGCTGAACTGTTAGCAATGGAAACTGGACACCATCTCAAAGGACCGGTGAGAATAATTGTAATTTTATACGTCGATGGTTTCTTGGAAAATTTACCTATTTGTCTTGATCTGGCAACATTTTTTTTCTATTATAAAAGGTCCATCGATATATGAATTTTGATAAACTTGCACACACGCTTTGTTGATTCTTATTTTATTATTTTTTTGTTTAATTTTGAAAAAAAATATTTGAAACTCATGAAACTGCTATTATCATTCCTGGGTAACAACTTTTAGTTAGGATTTTTGTTTTAAGAATTTCAAATATTTTTTAAAGAAAAGCTATTGCAATAAACCGTATCATTGAAACATTCCTGGAACAGAAAAATACAAATTCCTAAACAAATTAATTTCGTCCTGTTCATTAAAATTGGTTGATAGGTAGGTAGGAGAAAAACGCTTGTAATATTGAGCATATGGCCTAATATTTGCCTCCAATAAACAGCCGCCTTATCTTCTAATGAATCAATAGATAATTTATTGGTAGCATTTTACTGGGTTGACATTATTTAGTTATCATGACGTCAATGGTTGGTAAACTTATTGCCTCCTGGAAACATGGCTACTAGTGACAGATTATGACGTCATGTACCTACAATTAGTTATAAGAAACAAAAATAAAATCTCTTCCTGAAATATAAATAAATTCATAATAAAAGCACAATTTGGCAACGTTGAGTTTTCAAACCAACCATGATGACTTTGAATGAATTTTTCAATTTCTACTGGAGTCAAGGTTCCTAAAGTTTTATAGGTTGTCTGGTAATGGGTAATTTGATGACGCGTCTGGGGTGCCTTATGGAGATTTGCATTATGTTAAGGCACCCCGGATGACGTCATAAAGTTATCAGTACTGGAGTTTTGTTTTTGAAATTCAAATAAAGCTCAATTTATTTAATGCTGATTCTAACTAAATTTATTATTGGGTTTGTTCCAACCAGCAGTAATTTCCAGTAATATTACTGGCACACATACGCAATTGTGAAATGCTGTTCCAACCAGTTATAATTACTAATTTAGAATTGGCGATAATTGACAGTTCGTCGTTCCAACCGGAGTTACGGATAGTAAAATTACGGTTCAAACGATTCTCGCTTGAAAGGAAGAACTGTTGGTTCTAAAATTAGACGCATGCGTAGTGAGGTAGAAAACGGGTTAGTGGTTGAACAACAACGAACATAAATAATAATACATAACCCAGAACCTCAGTTTTTTGTTTATTTAAATTATTTATTTGAAAATGGCTGCTATAGAAGTTAAGTAATTTTATTTTATTTGTTCTCAGAGTTAGGGCGGGTATTATAAAACTACTTTGAGAGTTAACTTAAAGTTAACTTCTGGCATTACATGTAATTCAAAAAGTTAACTTCAAGTTAACTGTCAAAGCAGTTTTATAATACCCGCCCTTAATAAATCTGATTTTTGTGTTATATTAGGTTTAGAAAAATTCTTTATTGTGGTGGAAGATGATTCACCTGCAAGTATGCAAGTTATGTTGATTTTGTTATTTTCTTCTTGTGTTGTGAGTACTACTATTTCAAAAAACGTTCCAACAAGTTTTTAAGTTATTTAGTATAATTTTACTGTTTTTGATTGCGCAGTCGCATTAGCGCGGTTACGGACGATAATATTACAGTAATATTATTGCAGGTTGGAACAAACCTATTATTAATACAAAGGCCTAAAAAATATGTTCGTTATAAGTGGAGCCACCGGTCAAAATTGGTCCTATTGCAAAACTCATTCTCCTCCGGCACTTTGAAAAACGGTGAAATAGGAAAACGAACCTTTAACCACCTAAAATAGAATATCAATGTATTAAATTGGGTATAATTCAAATCTGGCGCCCTCTGGTGGGTGGCAAGTCTCATTGACAGTTGCATTCAAATGTCATTGTTGTGCACCCAATATGGTCACACAGTGATGTTTACATTGTGAGTTTTACTTACTGCCAATAAAGTGGTTAAAGCCAGCGGCGTGAACTTTCCAATAGACACAAACAGAGGTCGTTGCATTCGGGCCATAGTCATGATCATCGATTTTTTGAATCTCGGACTGGCGCTGAACCAATCAATTTTGTACATTGCGCTGGGTATAGCTTCCCCCTTAAATTAAAAGTTTTAGGGCCGGTTCCTTAATAGCAAGTCACCCCCGGGTTGAGCATAACTCCAGGGTAAACATTGTAACTGGACACGTTTAACCTGGAGTTAAAACCAACGCGGAGATGACTCGCTATTGAGAAACCGGCCCTCACCACCACTTAAAGACAGTTTTGCATAACGCATAAGCATAAGCCCACACCAATCACAGGTTGTATTGAAGGTCACCGGACTGCCAACGGACTTATAATATAACCTGTGATTGGTGTGTAACGGCCTCAATGACGATTTCGATTTGATTGCATTTAATGACAGTTGACAGATAAACAATGCTTTAAACATCTACTGTCAAAAAAAAAGTGCAATCCAAATCCAAGGGGGTTTCTAATGGTCGTTTGTACTGACCATTTTGAGATGGTCGCTGCAAACAGCCATAAGAGATTAACCAATCGGTAGTTTTGACAGATGAGCAACGCATTTTACATCATTCAAAAACAATTGGTTGACAAATAACGTGCACTTCATTGTTTATCTGTCAAGTTTAAAGCACCGTTCAAACGTTTGAAATCCTCTCCAAATACCCATGATTTGTTTTTTGGAAGTGAAACTTACAGCGAGTGTCATTTGATTGCCGAACCAACAGTATAAGGAAAATTGAGCTAAAACAGCACAAAAATATTCCAGTTGGGAGAAGAAATTTGGAGAATTCAGCGGCTCCTGAAAAAGATATTCAAAATTATAATCAACTTTTCAAGCGACGTTGCCATATCACATAACTATTTTCCTGTAACTTTATAGTTTCTCACCTGTGCAGCGACAAAAAGGCACGAAGCAAATATCAATAGCGATGCCACAGTTTGCACAAGAGTGATAAAACTAAAAGTTTCTTCAATGTCCATACGAACGCTAAAAACATTTATTTTAAAACTTCTACAATAGAGTTTATTAACAACTCCACTTACTCAATCAATAAATAAAGATGTTTGGTACAATGAGTAATCTCTTTATATAATTCCTGCTCTAAAATAGGACTATAAGGATCATACAGGCAAACAAAATCCTGTTTCATTTGTAATCTGTGCAAACAGCGCTTGCGTATCGTAGTCAATGCATCACCGACAATTTTAAGTTGAGTGCTCAACAGATGGAGCAAAGTTACAAAAACCATATCCAAAGCTAAAATTAACCATCAAGGACCTTATTCTCGAAACCGAAGAGCAGCGTTCAAATGAGAAATAATTGTCCTGTCTTTGTCTGTTCTATTTGTATTTGCATAACACCGACAAAGATAGAGTAATCGATCTCATGAAAACATTGTTTCCTGCTTTCTTTCAAGAATAGACGTCCAGGCGTAACGATCATTGCGACGTTTGTCAATGTCGACTTGATGCTTTGCGCTGATTGGTTGATTTAGATAAAATCAGCCAATCAGAGCACAGGTTAAATATACTACCCAATAGAATTTTGCACTTTCGATAGAAAGTTCTAGAACAAAAGATTGACTTACAAGCAATATACCAAGCGAAAACGTCTAAGCAAATATGCATGTAAGTTAGCATGTAGTAGCAACCGGTTGTCGTGCTGACGTCAAACGGATAATAAAAGTAATACGGAGTGAAAGATTCGCAAGACGAATTTCCAGTAAAAGTTTCTCCCATGGTGTTTTTTCCTATCATCACAGCCGCACTGATGTGAGCAGAAGCTCCGACGAAAGTGTAGAGTATGAAAATAAAACCGGCTATGAATATTGAGAAGAATTTTTCACGTCGCAGAAGTTGACCTGGCTGAAAATCATCTGAAAAAAATATCGAGATACTGATATCGATAGATTTAATAAATTATTACCGAGTGGTTCATATCGGTACTGTACATCTTGCAATTTCTTCTTGACACTGTCGATTTTGTCTCTCCTATAAATCAAGATCCACAACTTGCCGAGGCCCACCAAATGCGTGAACATCATGCCGATTTGGCTAACCAGCTTTGTGGTGTTGCCCAATGCTTCTCTGAACGCTACAACTTCGAACAGGATGAAAACTAATGCTGTTGTTATTTGTATGATGTTGTAGCACGAGTAGAGGAATCTTATTATCTAGAACAATAACAATAGTATCTGAAATTTATTTGGCTTTAATTAGAGTCTAATTACGTTTAAATCGGATGAAAATTAATGGAGCTGTGAGGCAAAAACTGTCTCAGTGTCATTTTCGGAAAATTTTCAATGATCGATAATTTTAATTTTGAAGCTTCTCAGATGCAAATTGATGGAGCAGAGAGGCAAAATCTATCTCAGTGTAATTTTTGGAAGATTTTGAACATTCGATAAGGGCTGTTCTGTTAGGTAATGCAATTTGACAGATAAAAATGCAATATGTAATCCCATTGGTCGGCCCAGTTATCCGGTGACCAATAGGATTATAGATCAATCAATTTATCTTGCAGATAGTTACCAGCAAGTTTATCTGAAGATGAATAAACCGGTCCTCAGAATGTTGTTTATTTTTGTATCTCTAATGGCTGTTTCGACCAACTATTGCAAGGAATAAGTGGCATTTTGAACCTAATTTTTCCATATTTTCAACTCCTAAAGTGCCCTAAACCCGCATTAATTTTGAAAAAAAAAAATTGACACAATGTTGAAAGAGACGGTATTTATCACCTGACAAAAGATGGATGTGGAACCCTATCGAAAATCTTGGGAAAAAAACTCAATTTGAAGCTTATTTTTTCATATTTTCAACCTCTTCACTGATTGTTATCCTAGTAAGCAACCTAGATTGAAATTTCATCATTTTAATACTAATGAGGTAGCTACCTTATGATTTAAATCTCATGGGCCGAATTTATAGTTGGTCCTTATGAGGATTCCTCAAACGCTAAGGAAGCCTTGAACGTTAAGAATTGACATGACTAACTTGTCAGTTAGTAGCAAGTGTCCATTCTGAGCCGCTTTCGTGCGAAGCTCCTGGAGTGCGTTCAAAGACGGCAATGCTAATGCCAAAACCTGCTTTTCCCCTTCTACCGGCAATGCCAAATCTGGTGTGAATTTGCTGGAACGCCAAATACCGTTTCTCAATTAGGCAATCCAAACCACGTGACATTCAAGATAGCGTGGCGTCCACACATGGACGAAAAAACACAAAAAATATCTAGTTTCTGCCCAACTCAATAGTTTACGTACCTACAAATATTTTATTGAATAATCAAAATCAAAGCTGCAAGCAAAACTCGAAGCAAAATAATTGAAATATGCATGAAAACACATATTCAAAACTAACTTGCTGGCCGCCACGCCATATTGAATTTGGTCTCATCCAATCAAAATTCGTCTAACCATTTCTAGACTCAGTTAAAAGCAACTCCAAAAGTTACTTTACCGCGGCCGATTCTGAACGTGTAAAGCCAACCGTTTTTGGCATGCTGGAGCCGAACTTGAACGCAATATGCCAATTTTGGCTCGGCTTTAGCCGTTTTTGAACGCAGCCCTGGAACACTTCATACTTGTCAGTGACCTGTCATTCTCCATGCGTTTTGCACTCAAACGCTTGATACCGAACGGGTCAAACTGTTGCTGGAGTACTTCTGAGTAACTCGGGAGCGCTCAAAAGGTGGCACCCGAAAGCAGCTCTAAACTCACGACTCGAAGGAAGATTCAAGGAACGACTATAAATTCGGCCCTAAACTTTGACTTAAATTTACATTTAAAAATGTCAGATTAAGCATTGACTATCGTTAAACATGCTGTGGTTAAGCCAATCGTTAAACCTTTCTTAAAATGGTCTTTGCAAACGCTAAACGGCCATTATAATTCCCTTTGATAAGTATTCCTTAAAAGGACAGTCTTCCATGGAGAAATGCCAGTTTAAGAAATACTTAAGTCCTTTTCACGTGGCTCCGGTTTAAACTAACCGGGTTACAAAGCGGTTAGTAGCGGTATGTCAAATGATGACGTCATTGAAAATCCCACTTGAAAGCGAACGGTTACAAAAATGTTATTTTAAATTGGAAAATCGAGCGACCTGTTTCCTAACCCGGTTACATAGTGACGTCATCGATACCACTCGAATTTGAGTGGTATGTTGCGGTTTGTTAAACCGGAGCCACGTGAAAAGGGCGTATACCACATGCTTAAGGGCCGTTTGCACCAATGAACTATAACCAAAAACTGGAATGCGTACACATATTGACGAACATGAAGCCTAGTGCCGCTGCTGCGGAGGGGAAGCCTGTTTCTGTTGCACTCATTATGTTAAATGGCGGAAATTGCTTCCAACACGTATTCCAATTGATGAAACCTGTGAAGGAAAATATGACAAATCTTTCGAAAACGTCATATGTCAGCGAGCAACAGAAAGAAACAACATTCCCCATTATGGCATCTGTCTTTCATGGCTACATTTTTTTGGCAGATATGGCAATGTGTGCGCATTCCAGTTTTTGGCTATAGTTCATTGGTTTGCACCGACCATTTTAATGAAGGCTTAACGATAAGTATTCCTTAAAGTGACATTTTTACATAAAAAAACTGTCATTTTAAGGTATACTTATCGTTAAGCCTCCCTTAAAAAGGTCGATGCAAACGGCCATACATGTACTGGAATGGCGCCCCTGTATGACGTTACATGACGTATACATATACATATCCCCACCAATAAGCATCGTTCACAATGGGTCTGACGCACATATTTGATGTTCTCCTTGTCTAAGCTCTGAAAAGTGACGATGATGAAATTTCTCATTCGTTATTTGCATCTTGTTCGTTTAAGGCCGGAGTCTCATGCATCCGTTTTCTGACGTCCGATGTCCGAAAAACGTTTTATTCTGACATAATCGTATGGAAATATGTCAGAATAGAAAGTTTTTCGGACATCGAACGTCTGAAAACGGCTGTATGAGACTGCGGCTTAACGCTAGTCAACATCAAGGATAATACATACACTACTATAAGGATTGCTTATAGGCCACCTTTTTGGTAGTCGCTGCATTGGTGTTTCACCATTTCCGACGTCATAATTGAGTCATGAGCTGTTTGCACTAGCGGTCGTAGTTTAGAATTTCAATTTATAGAGAAAATTATTATTTAATTTTAATTTACATAATAGGCAAATAGGAAGATGAAAACGAGATCTGAATTGGTATAGAATGTAAATTAATGTAGTAAAACCAAGTATGCATTAAAGCAAAAGCCCGCGAAATCATAACCTGTGGTGCAAACAGCCTACGTCAATGCGAGAAAGGACATGATGCCTACGTCACAACTGGTAATTTGGCTTGGTGGGGGGCATTTTTCAGCAAGTGGCCAGGGTTAGGGGCTATTTTATGAAATAATAAAATAACAAATAACGAAATATTATGACGCGGTTAATTGTCCAATAGCCGTTTGCACCCAAGGTTCCTAGTAAATGTTAATAGGTTGTCTGGTAATGGCAAACAGATGCCGTCATCAGGTGGTTCTTATGGAGGTTTGCATTAAGCGTAGGCTTCCAGATGACGTCATAAAATTTACCAGGCAACCTACCTCTTTTAAACAACTTTGGTTTGCACCTTTTTACATGGAGAAATGTCACTTTAAGAAGGAATACTTATCGCTAGGGCTTTCTTAAAATAAGTCTAAAAAAACTAATATAAAACAGTCAGCTTTCTGCCAAGTTGCCAAGTATACTGCTGCGACGTAGCTGCGATCTCGCAGACTGAACTTGTTTTCTAGTTTGCACAGTGTCCGGACTACCCGCATGCCATTTATAGGAAATTCTATTAAAAGGGATAGTGCGCATTGGGTGAATTCGTGTCTTTTTCTGCTAGCTTGCATAAGAAAGGGATAAAAATACATTTTCTGCACTGGTTCTACCAATAGAATTCGCTATAATTTAAAAGTTCTTGGGGAATCCTAGAGGCTTTGAGGGTGGCACCCGGAACAAAATTTTCGATTACCCCCCAAGATGCATGGGCTAGTTACGTCGCGTCGGTGAAACGCAAGGAACATACACACTACACACCTACAGGATTGCTTATCAGCCTCGTTTTTGGTAATCGCGGCCATATTGGTGTGTTGCCATTTCCGACGTCATCAACTAAGTCGTCAGCTGTTTAGACAGCCTAGGTCAAGGCGAGAAATAACATGCTGCCTACGTAACAAGTGGTAATTTGGCATGGGGGGAAGGGAGGATTTGTTACACACAGGTTTTATGAGGATAGGCCATCGTGTAGAGGTTAAGGCGGTTTTCACCAGCCTGGAATTACATATTATTTATCGGTAAATACCGTGGTTATTCTTTTGGTTGACAATTTTGACAATCAAATGTGACGTCATAGCCCCCCACCGCTCAAGAATCATAACCTAAGGAACTGACCGCTGAAATGATTTGGTTATAGCAGTGTCGGGTAAAGTTTGGTATTCTTATTTGTTTTTCCATTTCAACAATGATTTCTTGTTAAGGTACAAAAAATGGAGCGGAATATCTTGTTAGTCTCGTTTATCGAAGATTTTATTTGGGGATTATCTAAACCTCAATCTAAACATGGTGAGTTGCAGTGAGTGTATACTTTTTCCATTGTGCCAGGCCACAATATAACTGCAAAATCACAAAACACCAATACCAATCCCCAAAATAATAACAATAACATCAAAAAGCTGTAACCAAAAGATCAACCCAAGTTTAAAGCTGGGTTATAGGATTTTTACGCTATATTTAGGATGACGTCACGTTTAGTAAATTTCTGCTGACAACCTAACAAAACTGAAAGTACTTTTTAACGCATTTAAAGTAGGGGAATTTCAGATGTTTTTGGTTGGCAAAGGCGCGCGACGTTGCATGATTTGTATAAACATTTTCATTTTGTTATTTTTAGCTATCGTCAGAATTATTAACATATGATATTCTGGTAAATTATAGGAAAAAAAAAATGGGCATTGACAACATTGTCTGTCTTCGTTCGATGACGTCATCTTAAATACAAGGT